ACCAGGTTTGATTCCCCATTCCTCCACATGCAGCCAGCTGGGTGACCTTGGATCAGTCACAGTGTTCTCTCAGAGCTGTTCTCTAAAGAGCAGTACTCTCAGAGCTCTCTCAGCCCCACCTACCTCACAGGGTGTCTGTTGTGGGGTGAGGAAGGAAAGGAGATTGTAAGCTGCTCTGAGACTCTGAGTGAAGGGCAGGGTATAAATCCAACTCTTCTTCTTCATGTTTTGAGTTCACAGCCTTCTACCATGCCCAGGGCATCACTGAGGGCCCCACAGTCTGCCCCTGACTCCGCCCATGCCATCTGGAGAACAGCCATGCTGATCCAGGAAGTAGTGAAGGAACAGAATTTGTGACAGGTCCCTTGGTCTGTTTGTCACTGTGGTCTTTGCTACAGGTGCAGTACAGAACCTGGGACTCGGTCACATTTGTCACTGTCAAATGCAGCTGCGTCTCGCTAAGCCGTTCAATCAAATAGGAGGAGTTCCTCCAGGTTGTTTTCTCCTTGTCTCCTTTCTGCCTAATGTTTGCCAAAAAGTGGAGCTGGCCTTGGAGGTCCTGCACATACCAGCTCAACCAGGGGTAGGAAGTATCTTTCAATGTGCAGGTCACATGGAGAGTGGTGTCCTTTGTCACAAGTGCATACTTCAGGCTTTGCTCTACCAAGCCCCCTCGTTCACCTGAAAGACAAAAGGAACCACAATGAAGAATCTGTCTCCATAGACTGGTTTTTTCCCTCGGCTGTGGGCTCATGGATGGGCTCAGAGTCACCTGAGAGAGGCCTGGCCAGTAGGCTGATGTACACACACAGAAGTACAAGCATCTCTGTTGAGGGGAACCTCGAATGGAACGTTCAAAGGGCAGAAGCATTCTTGGAGAGAAAGTTCACCATCTCCTCGATTTCAGAAAGGGGTGTGGCCAGAGATTAAGTTTATCACTTGTGTTCTTCCTGTCTCTGTTGCAGATGTGAGAAGACTTCCCCCTGCTGGAGGATATCAGCCCAACACTTTCTTTGGCTGCAAGTGACTCACAGGTATGTTCCATTAGTTAAGCTTTTCCATTGTCCAGCTTCCTCTTGAACAAAACAGTAGTCGTAGCAGTGGTAGTATATCTGGGGTTACCAACCTCAAGGTGCAACTCAGTGTTCTCCTGGTATTGCAACAAAGCTCCAAACTACGGAGATCAGTTTCCTGGAGGAAGTGGCAGTTCTGGAGGGTAGACCCCCCAAGCTCCCTGTCCTCCCCAAACTCCACCATTCCCAGGAACTGTCTTCAAATCTCCAGGTTCCAGTTTTCCAACTTACTCTGGATCTGTTATTACATCGGCCTACCATTCCACTGCCATTTGAAATGTCTTTCTGGATTGGTTGATAGAAAGTCATCCCATAGCTAAAGCTAAACTTGATTCTTCTGACCCTTTTAAACAATATATTTCTGTTAGCTTCCCTTTTTATTGATTATACTATTCCTCCATGTCATTTGGTGGATCAAATTTGATTTGATCAGCCTCATGCCATATTAGGGTTTTCAAGGGACATATTTTCTCTTTTAAATGCTAATGGCAAAGCAGGGAGCCTAGCTTCGAATGGTGAAACTGGGTAGAACTTGAAGGGTTAAACAGCCACTCTTCCCTGCATGGCCCCAAGGAAACTGAGGCTGAACAGAAGTTTGCATTTTCTGGATAGCGTGAGATACTCTGTCTGTTGAGCAAACAGGTTTGGGGAAAGATTTTTCCCTTCCTGAGGTCCTGGAGAAAAGGTTGCTGGCCTCCAGGTGGGACCTGGAGATCTCCTGGAATTACAACTGATCTCCAGACTACACAAAACTGTTTCCCTGGAGAAAATGGATGTTTTGTAGGGTGCGTGCTATAGCATTATGCCCTGCTGAGGTTCCTCTGTCCCCAAACCCCACCCTCCTCCGGCTCCACCCCCAAATCTCCAGGAATTTCCCAACCTAGAGTTGGAAACCCTACCTGCAGAGCTGCCGCCAGTCACAGTAATATTGGATTAAATACTCTGACTATAAACAAAGAAGAAGAAGAGATTGGATTTATACCCCGCCCTTCACTCGGAGTCTCAGAGGGGCTTACAAACTCCTTTCCTTTCCCCTCCCCACAGCAGACAGCAGACACCCTGTGAGGTAGGTGGGGCTGTGAGAGCTCTTTCAACTGCCTGCCCTTTCAAGGACAGCTCTTGTCAGAACTATGGCTTGCCCAAGGTCATCCAACAGCTGCAAGTGGAGGAGTGGGGAATCAAACCCAGTTCTCCCAGATTAGAGTCTGCACCCTTAACCACTACACCAAACTGGCTCTCTATATAAGGCATATGCAACATACAGTGAAATCTGGGGGTACTATCCAGTCAAATGTTTTAAAATCCTTTGGATTTCAATAAGAAAGAAAATCATTGTGATTTTAAAGTGCTTAGTTTGGATTGGGGGAGGACAGATGGTAGGGTCTCATCACATCTCAGAAGCTAAGCAGGGCTGGTAGTTGGATGGGAGACCACCCAGGAAGACTCTGCAGAGGAAGGCCATGGCAAACCACCTCTACTTCTTACTTGCCTTGAAAGCCTCTTGCTGGGGGAGTCGTAAGTTAGTTGCAACTTGGCAGCACTTAAGTATGTAATTTGGGCTAGGTCATGAAGGTGGCATTTCAGGGAAAGCAGGGCCATTTCAGGGTATCCTGTCGCCCCTAGGAGGATACACGCATCACTTCCTGGGCCTGCACCACCGCCACCCAGATCCAAACAAAACCCCGGCAGCATTGCCATTTGGGTTAGGTTGGCAACCGCCTCCAGGGAGAAGATGCAATCACCTCCTATGTCACTGATGGCCAGAAGAAAGCCAAGCCACTGGACAGCATTGGTACCCACCTCATTCTGCTGCCCCAAGCAACTACTGATATGGCTTGCTCAGAGAATCCGCCCAAACTGAAGGACCAATACTGAACATCTGAACGTTTGTTTTAGCTTCTATGTTTAAAATCCTTGAGACCCACCAGAACAATAGGTATTTCATGAATGCCCAGACAGTTTACACCACCTCTTGGATTCATTCCAACCTCCCCCTTCCCATTGACCCTAATTTCATTTGCTGCATTCACACAGACAGTGAGCCAACTTCACCACCACTGGCTCTTCTCCACTTGCACCGGCGCACGTGTTTCCCTCTTCTTAATCGGATGGATACTCAATGCTTCCATTGTCATGCACGAGGACTTGAGTTTCAGTGTTTTTTCTCCACACTGCGTTCTGTGCCAAATCTTAAGTGTTCTATAAGTGCTTTTTTATGATTTATCTCCTTGAATATCTCTTAATCTCTCCTTGCTGTCACATAGACGTGTTCCTCTTCCTGGAGACATCTCAGATGCCATTAAGACACCCACACGGAGATGTTAAGTTTTTGCCAAGGTCTCCTCCTTCCTGAAAAACCCCTCTATAGTTCTTATCTCTTCTTAAACCATCGCTGCCTATAATCCTTACATATTCTTCCTTTCCAGCTCTGTCTCAATAGAACCCCCCAGATCAAATGTTTATTTTCATTTGTAGAGAGGATTTCCTGCACCTCATGACAGAGACAAAAGGGGTTGTATAAAATTCATGCAAATACAAAAAACCCTACAGGTTCATTAGAACAGGACTGATTCTTATTCCTTTTCCTTTGACCTCATTTTGACTTTGCTTTGCTCTTGAGAGAATCAAAGCTGAGATTATCCGTTGAACATTCTCTGCTCCTTCATACCAAATTTCCCCATTAAATATATGCATTGTGTGGGTGTGGGTTTTGTTGTGGGTGTGCATGTGCGCATAAAGCCGTGTCAAAGAAATAAACTATTTGAGAGCACCAGCAATGAAAATGGGTGGAACAACAAGGTTAACCATGACAACGTACGCAAAAGAACAATTTATACTACACTTTAGGCGTATCCTATAGTTTCCTTGGTTTTAGAATCACGGAATCACAGAGTTGGAAGGGGCCATACAGGCCATCTAGTCCAGTCCCCTGCTCAGTGCAGGACCAGCCTAGAGCATCCGTGGCAAGTGTTTCTCCAGCCGCTGCTTCAAGACTGCCAGTGACGGGGAGCTCACCACCTCCCTAGGTAGCTGATTCCACTGTTGCACAACTCTGACTGTACAAAAGTTTTCCCCAAGATCCAGCCGGTACCTTCCCGCCCTTAGTTTAAACCCATTATTGCATTTCATGGCTATTTCACACTCTACACAGCAATAAATCTGTGCTCGCATTTGGGGAGGGGCTAAGGCTCAGTGGAAGATCCTCTACTTTGCATGCTAGAAGGTCCCAGGTTCGATCCCTGGAATCTCCAATTTAAGCATCAGGCAGGAGGCGATGTGGAAGACCTCAGCCTGACTTCCTGGAGGGTCTCAGTCTGAGTACACAATACTGACTTTCAGGGACCAACGTTCTGATTTAGTGTAGGGCAACTGTGTGTGTGTGTGTGTTTTGCCATCAAGTCAAGCTGACTTCTGACGACCCCAGGTGAGGCTTGGAGGCAAAGGGACATTCAGAGGTGGCTTCCCATTGCCTGCCTCTGACTCATGATCTTGGTATTCCTTGGAGGTCTCCCATCCAAATACTAGCCAGGGACGGTCCTGCTTAGCTTCCGAGATCTGACGAGATGGGGTTTGCCTGGCCTATCCAGGTCAGGGCTATGCATGTGTGTTCATGCAGCAGTCAATCTTGGCTGTCCTGTAAGTTTTTCTTGATGCTATTGATTGCATTTGCACTTTTAGATGTGTGTGTAAAATAATATCTGGTGTTTGTTAGAGAAGGTAATATGAGAAGCAGCCCTCATGAACTGACACGTATTTCGTCCCGGCCTTCCTCCTAAGACTTTCAGGTGGTGGGGTACACAAATCTTCCTCCTCCAGTTTGCCCTCACAACAACTGTGCGACCGAGGTAGATAAAGCTAAGACAGCATGATTAGGCCGAGATCACCCAATGAGCTTCTTGGCAATTCGAACCTGGGTATCCCACCACCATGCACTGCAATATCCTTCAGATGAGAGGAAGTTGTGCAGACTGTCACATCATCATCATCATCATCAAATTGTTCATCACTTTGCATAAGGAGGAAAAGAACTCCTTACAGGCAAAGGCTGCCAACTCAAGGTTGGGAGATTCCTTAGGGTTGCCAGCCCTCAGGCAGGAGTAGGGGATCCTCTGATTTCGTGGGCTTCTTTGTGTGGGAAGCCCCACCCCCAACAGCCATGACCCAGTGCAATGTCCCCAATGTGATGACATCACACAGAAGTGATGTCATCATGCTGGGGATGTCACATAGTTTTTCTGGCCATAAATCTACCGCAGCCCTTTTGAAACTATCCTGAGGAAAGAACATGAATGACAAGGAAGGAAAAAGAGAGGTGTCGATTCATTTTCCATCTACGAACCGGAGCAGAATGCCAAACTGGCATGCGAACATGTCCTCGCAGGATGCTGACATCTACGTAAAGGGCGTTCCGAGATAAATCTGACTATCCAAGCCACTGAATATCTTTTTATAAAGACTCTGATTAAGTGTCCTTCTCTCAGCTTTCTCCTCATCCAGCAGATTAGCGTGTGCAGAGTGTGATAAATCTTATTAGAGATGGAAAGCCAGGAAAACCCACATCCCACTAAGCAGAGACTTAGCAGGGGAACAACCTAGGGCCAAATGGGACCATAAAACAAAAATCTAGTGCCACCTTAAAGAATAACATTTGTTGCCATATGAGCTTCCATGGGTCACAGCCCACTTCATCAGGTGGATGTGGGATGGAAAACTCTACTGAGGAATTGTCCTTGAGGGCCTTTCATTTCCCAAAACACAGCCGTGGATGCTTCAGACAAAAGCAGATGTCCAGAATCAAGAACAAGGACGTGTACATCTGAATGCTGGGCTTGACCACCTATGGCCCTGCCCCCAATGGAGGGGGCAGTCAGCTCAGCAGCAGATGCCTTGCTAGGAAGGAAGAAGCTAACAGTAACTTCACTGCATCACTCCAAACATCTGCCAGTCCACCATCTTGTTCCCCACAAAGACTGACCAGTCGCTTCCCATTAGCCTGCAAGTAGAAATAAAGGCAGTCCTCCAGATACTGGTACTCAGAGGGTTTGGGCGAGGGATTGGAATGCTTAGAACAGGGGTCCCCAACCATTTCGAGCCCGTGGGCACCTTTGGCATTCTGACATAGTGTGGTGGGCACAGCCACAAAATGGCTGCCGCAGCTTACCTTCAGTCACCCAGTGAAGATCCTTGCACTGTGGTGGCAGGTGCTTTTTAAAAAAAGAAATCTGCACAGCCAGTCACACTTGTCCCGGGATAAACGGATGCTGTTATAACCAGGGATAAATGTAAGGTATTGTGTCGCGAGCTGAACTCTGATAAAACCAGGGATGAGATCCAAGTGTGGAAAGGACCAACCTGTTCCAGAGTGAATGTATAACCCGAAAACCAATGTGGTGTAGCGGAGTAGCCAGCACTCTACACACACACACACACACACACACACACACACACACTTATCACATAGCTAATAACAAGCTCTTATAACCAAATCCACTTTACAAATGAATCACATCTCATCAGTTAATAGTGTACCAAAAAGAACACATATGGGTGGGTTTCATCTTGGAAGGTTGACATCATTCATAGATTTTGTTCATCCTGAAATAGGACATTTTTTTAGCATGGACACGGAATGTTAATTTGAGTGAGCAGTGACTCAGGAAAACTCACTCCCTGCCACAAATTTTGTTAGGCTTTAAGGTGCCACTGGACTCTTGCTCTTTTCTACAGGTACATACCAATCCATGGCCCCGGTCACACGGGCAGGAAACTGCGGGGGAGAAGCGTGGCTGTTTGCCCTGGGGCAAACTACTGCGCAGTTACTCGATCAGACCTCCCATGGAGGTCCTGTGGAGGTACCGTGGAGGTTCCATGGCAAGGGAGAGGTGCTGATCACAGGACAAGCCGGCGCGCAACAAAGAAGCGCGCGCCGTGGCAAACTTTTTTTGTGTGTGTGTACATGACAAATGCGCATGCTCTGTTGGATGCGTGTGCGCATCCACAGAGACGTGAACAAAAAAACCCACCTTATTTGCAAGGGGACATGGGCGGGTGCCGGATGCCAGCGGAAACGCGATCAGACGCCCGCCCTTGCCCCGCAGTTTCCGGAAACTAGTACCTCCGCGGTACTAGTTTTTTGCCACGCAGTTTCGGCTGGAAGCCTCGGTTGTGCCACGGGAGTGCTACGCTTCCCAGATGTGCTGGTGAGATCGCGCCCGGAAACTCCGCCTGTTTTCCGTCTCACTTGTGTGGCTTCTGTTCTGTGTGACCGCAGCCCATGTTACAATGATCAAGCAACGAATGTTTGTGTGTGAACAGACCATTATATAGGGCAAGCAACTTCTGCTATCTCATGTTGCAGTACAATACAGTACATTCAAGGCAGGAATTCTTCAGTTTGGCATTTTCTTGGTTTTTCAGTTAATATTTAATTTGAAATCCACCCACCCACCCATCAACAGATCATTGAAACACATAGTTTTGCCTAATACGTTTAGAAAACTGAAGAAAATTGAAGAACTCCTCCATTAACATGTTTCACAGGGAACTCCAAGATGATAATTACTCAGCCCTATCCCACCTTCCTGAGAAGATATAAATTACCTGCCTAGTGCCTACCATTTTTCTTTTCACCTTGGCACAGAGAGTACTCCGTCTTTCTGTGTTATACTTCTGAGGATGCCAGTCACAGCTACTGGAGAAACGTCAGGTCCTACTATGCCAAGACCATGGCTAGACAACCTGGAAAATCTACAACAGCTAATGAACTCCAGCCGTGAAAGCCTTCGACAACATAACTTAGGGACACATAAGTTCTTAAATTTTCTAAGCATACTAGCCAGAAGCATGTTATTCAATGATTTGTTGATTGGGGGGGGATTCAGTAGTCCAGACTAGCCCAATCCCATCAGAGTTTGGAAGCTGAGCAGAGTTGACCATGGTGAGGACTTGGATGGGCAACCACCAAGAAAGAGTAAGGTTGCCATGCTGAGGAAGGCAATAGCAAACCACCTCTGCTCCTCTCTTACCCTGTAAACCTCATGCTGGGGTCACCATAAGTTGGTTGCTACTTGCTGGCACACAGTTATTATTAGGGACACATAAGATATTGTAAAGTTCTCGTGTTTGTTGAGCCCCTGCATGGAGATTTTGCATCAGTCAGTCCATCGGAATTTTGTTGCTTCCAGACTCTAGGGTTGTCAACTCTGAGTTGGGGAATACCTGGAAATTTGGGTGGAGAGCTTTCGGTTAATGGCGACACGCTAGCAGACGTCTCTCCTGGACCTCCTGGGAGACGATCTGAGCACCTGCGGTGAAGAGGGGGCTCAGTTGTCCGTTCCCCCCCCCATGGAGCCGGTGCGAAAGGCTCCTTGCCATGGAGATTTTGAGGGGTAGCCTCTTCCACAGCAAGATGCTGCGGAATTGAGGCACTCCTCCGCCCTGATGGTCCTGCCACCCTAATGATTCAGAGCCGCCGGCCGGGACAAGCGTTGGAGATCGGGCGATTTAACCACGATCGAGCGAGATCCCTGGACCAAAAATGAACAGTGAGTCAAGTAAAAAAAGAGATGCCAAAAAACTAAAAGAAAGCCCCCCCCGCCCCCTGGGAACAGTGAGACGAGCGAGCAGGGGAGGGGTTCCTCCCACATGCATAAACAAAACAACGATTTGCCAAGGGGGGTGCAGAAGTAAAAATGTGGAAATATGTTTTAAGAGACTTACCG